TACTTTTACTATCTCTAAATGTCTGAAAAAATAAAAATTTAAAATGCATGGTTATTTTAATTAAAATAAATTATAATAGTATATAAAAATTTATCTCTATCGTAATTAAATATTATAAAATGTTAATAATCAATTTAATCAACAAAATTAGTCAAAAGTCTTAATCTCTTGATACTATTTTGAATCATTTCTGTGTTTTACACTTTTGGGTGAAAAGGAAGAACTGTAAATCAGTTGCTGGTCATGATAAATTTCGAGCAGGTGAAATACAAGTGACTAAAAGCTTTCGCACGATACGGAACAAGTGAAACAGAGAGAAACAGAGAGATGAAAGATAAGGAACGAGAGATAGAGGGTAAAAACAGCATGTGAAGAAACGGAATGCGATTCGATGATTAAAAGTCGATAATGATAATTCTTTGCTCTTGTTTATTGCAAATAAAATAATTTATAAAATGAACAGTGCGTGTTACAATCGTACTAATAATTTGTCACGATATAATTTCTCTGAATCGTTTGTCTTTTCGCACATGCAGCTGGAAACCAGGATTACGATAATTAATGCATCTACTTCTTTATTTTCATCATTCAATGGTTAATTATGTAAATGGACTTATTATGAATTCGCCAAAAGACCACCATGTTCTTCATGTTTTATGTGATAATGAATAATCAAAATTTTATGTGATGTGCAAATGATTTCACATGCCTTTTTGCAATATCAAGTGAGGTTATGTTGAATTTTCGTCAATTTCACAATATGAAAAGTTTCTAAAAAATCCTTTTATAATAATGAAAGAATATTAATTGAATATTAATTGAATAATTGTAGATAATTGAAGAATATCAAAAAATAAGAAATATATATTTAATTAAATATTTAAAAAAAATATTCATTTTGAATAATTGTTTTCTTATTATGTAATTTATATATTATATATTATATATTTATATATTATTTATTATATTTATTATATAATAAATAATATTATTATATTTATTATATTGAAAATTCTAATGTGTTAATTTTAAATATTGTTAAAAATAAACTATAGCAATCTATGATAAATATTATTAAATACTTATATCTATAGTATATATTTTATTTATATACGTGATGCGTTTTTCAGTAGAAAGAGCCACATAATTGAAACTAATTATATTTATTTATTTTATTTAAAATATTAAAACAATTATTTTCGTATATAGTTGTTATTATTATTCAAACTATTCATAATAATTTTATGCATAGTATTTTATGAAAATATTGTTTCTATCAATATTTAGCTCAATTTCGCTGAACTCTCTGCTATGTAAATTAAACATCGTATCATATTTATAATTATCATTTCATTGGTACTTAATGATCTTGCAGATATCCGATATCGCCTTAAAGAAACAGTTCACGATTCACACTTTCACCATGAAGCTGAACGAAATCGAAATATCGAGTGAGTATTCACCGTAATCATGTATTGTTATCTCGTTAAAATTGTCACGTAAATCGTTCGATCGAGTTAATTGCCTCTAGATTTATCGTTCGAGTAAATACAATTTATCGATTTTAATTGAAGGAAGAGAATCAAGAATAATAAAATAAGTAACTTTTCCTTCTTGGCCAAAATGACCTCTTTTTCACTTTCCTAACTCTTATTTATACTTAATCGGGATTTAAAATATTTAAATTAATAAAAATTATGAATTTTTCGCGTATTAAATTTCTAGTTAAATTTTTATTAAATATAATAAATAAAAATATAAAAATATTTATATATATTTATAATATAAAAAATAATTAATAAATAGATAAAATTCAAGAAGAATTCATTTTGAATAATTAGATAATTATCACAAGGGCATGTGTATACAAAGAAAACAATTTTTTTCAAGTCAGTTAATATAATGCAATTAAAGATTTTTATATCAGTAGTTTGATTTTTATGATCAAGTTTTGAGAAACTGATTAATTAAAGAGGAATTATGAGCGAAAAAATGATTCCGTTATAAAAAGTACTTGAAATGTAGAATAAGGAAGAAGTGTGACAAGTGGAGAGTATTTATGATGTTGGCATAATAACTACTTCAAATATATATTTTCGACTTTATTATATAATTATTCTTTTAAACTTTCATCATATGTTTATTTACGTTTTAAAATTAAAATATTGTATTTATTTTATTAAAATATGCTTTTAATTATAAAAAGAAAAAATTTAAAATATTGATTTTTGAAAAATTGAAATAGTTATTTAAAAAAATTTAAATAATAAATTATTCAAATTATAGTTATTTGACTAAAAGTTTTAGTGTATAAAAATACAATAATTATTATTATAAGGAGACATATCTTGTTAAATTTAATAATTTTGGAATACATTGTTAAAATAAATATTGTAAATAATTTCAAAAAATAAATATAGAACTTAATATATTTATATTAGATCTCTCATACATTACAAAAATATAAACATTTAAATTACACACAATTTAAATTACATATTTTTACATATTGAAATATATTATTTTATCTTTTCAAATTTTATTTTATATTTATTTTTATTATACAATATTTATTTTATTTTCAGAGTAATGCATATATCTCAAATAGAAATTTTTATTATTTTTACTTTATAAATCAAATTTTTATTATTATTGCCTCTATAGTCCCAAATCTTATAACTTATCAGTAACCAGCTATATTGTCTTTCTGTTTTTTTTACTTGTTATAATTATTTCTAATATTCGAACAGAAGATAATATTTATAAATTTTTTTTAAACTTTTACAATTGGAAATTTTATCTTTCCATTTTTCAGTTTGTTAAATCTTTCTTACTCAAAATTTGATGAAATAAAATCTTCATAACTCAAAGATTTTAATTTTTTCCTTGCAATTTGAAATGTCAAGAATATATTTTTATATGTAGATTCAATTTAATAAATTTTTCGTAAATAATTTTATAATATATCGAACAAATCATTAAAATTGAACAATTGAATAGTGATGATTTATACGATTTATTCAAAAAGAATCAAATGTAAGAAACTATGGTCAGTCATAAACAGCTCAGGAATATTGCATGACAATTAATCGAATGAGGTAGCAGCTGCTTCGTTATGGTTGATTTTCGTAATTACGATTCGTCTTCCTCTTTATTCCATACAAAGAATAAAAAAAAATCAGCAGGGATTGTTCAATCATCGTGAATTTTTTTAATTCATTTTCTGAACCGCTATATCACGCATTAACTTAATTTGTTATGAACCAATCAATTAACCAGCAATAATTAGTTCATTAAGAGTTTTCACAAGACCTTGTTGTTTTTAATTAATATGTCAACGATTTTTCTGCAATTGATTTTGATTTCTTTCAAGAAAATATCTTTCATTCTGTTCGACTTTTTTCTTTTAAATCTATCTTATTATTTGAGCCCAGATATCGGTTTCCTTTTAAATCTATCTTTTTGTTTGTCAGTTTGGAAGAAGCAAAAAATTGAATTTTTTTTTCTTTTCATTAATTTATTATTATTATTATTATTATTACTATAAAGATTCTTATTGCCTTTATTGTGAATTAACTCTTATTGGATTTTTAGAAAATGTTACATTCTATAATTATATTTTCAATTTATATAGATCTCGATAATCTTTAAATTGAGACTTATAATTATAATTTACAGTTTTTATTTTTTATTTTTCATTCTATATTATATATAACATTAACATTAACATTCTATATTATATATAAGATTAAAAAATAAGAAGCAATTTTTGTATAAAATCTGATAATTTTAACAATCTTGTACTGGAAATATTTTAACATTGCCTTTGATTAATTTGATAATTAAAAACGGATTTAGTGAATTTTTTAATCTTTATAAATAATAGATATTATTAAAAGTATTTATCTAGTAAGAAATTTATCTGAATTTTTTTATTTTTAAAATTCTTATTATATTCTTATATATATAATTTTTCTTTTGAAATTATCATTTTTTTTTTCTTTTACATTTGAGTTTCTGAAAAATAATTTCTCATATCTATTTTAATTTTAATTTTAATTTTAGCTTTTATATTTGAATTTTTCTTTTAAAATCTCTATCCTGCTGTAAAAAGGAACTTAATAAATTTGATAAGATAATAACATGCTATTATATAATAGCGGGATATAGTCCATAAATATTTTTATAAACCATATTGCCATATCATAAAACTATAATTAAACTTTCTTTCTGTTTTTTTTTTTTACGAATAAAAACGATTGCATCTGGAAAAAAAAATATAAAGATGGACAGACATAACTGTTCATTATGTCCGGTAGAAACGTTTCTGTTTCTTTAAAACACGCATGACAGATGTTTCGTTTCGAAGTGACAAAGGATTTACCGATTAAGTTCTTCTATCTTTCCACTAAAAATTAATACCAGAATTCAAATCGGATTATATTCTTCTAAAATTTACGCACGAGAAACGCTAAACCGGATGTTAACCGACCAGTTCTTAATTATAATGTCACAGTTGTATTTGCATTGCATTATATTTTCTAACTTCCTACTTTGAACGATAGTTCAAAGCTTGTGTAAGCTTCATTCGACAAAGATAAAAAAAGAATATTATTTCTTTTAATCCTTTCTAATTCTAACCCTTGAATTCATTTTATCCATTTAAAATTTTTTGTATATTCCAGGTTTTGAATAATTCTGAAAAAAATCAAGATTACATACTAATTTTGTATATTCTATTAATTTAATTGTTGGAACATTTTCTTGCAATAAAAATTGAAATTTAAACAAAATGAAGAAATAGTAGAATAATTCCATATTGAGACTTCAAAAAATATTTAATATTTATATCTGTTTTTATTTGAATTTGAATAAGTGTTTCACATATATAAAAAAAAAATCATATTTTCTTAACATTAAGTTAAGTCAAATTAGCTTAAGAAGGTAATTAAATTATTACAACTTTCCTGTACACCGATTTGCAGTATCCTCGAATGATCCGCACTTAACTATCAGTTTTGTGTGTATTTATGTAAGTATAGTCACTCATACAGATAAAATGAAATACAATAAAATTGGCAGAAGAATTATAATACAGTATACTTTCGACAATACAAGGGCAGCTGTTTCGGTAGCAATTCTCACAATGGCATCGCGCGAATAATTCTTACGGTAATTACGATCGTTCTTCTTTTTCTCCCGTCATCCCCCTTTCAAGTCGCATTGTCTTCTGGCCTTCCATCTGGTTCCGCTTGTGAATCCTTTTTCTTCGCTGCTTTCTCACGAAAAGCGGAATTCTCAATTGTTTCTCTTGTTTTCGTGATAAATTCGTGGAAAAAATTCGGATATTAATAATTTGATATTTCCAAAAGAGAACTAAATCCAAAAGAGAATGTATTATGAGAGAATGTAATATAAATTCAATTATAATTAGTTATTTATAGAATTAATTTGATTTTAAATAAAAAAGATGATTCATTCTCTCTCGAACCTCTATATACATATTAAAGATATTGATACTTTCATATTATCTATAATAATAAATTATTTATAATAATCTAATAAAAGAAAGAAATATTATAGAAAAGAAAAAAAGAAGAGAATAGATAAATGATACAAATGCATGGAGGATACACGAAATGGAGATCCGTTAGTCTGGTTCCAGATTGATGATTGGCAGCTTCAAAAATTTGCTAGAGAGTGAAAATCAGCCGGCAGCGGCGAATCCTCTTCGCTGTGGGTGGAAAGGAATCGAATGCGGTGATTACTGGGTTAATTTCCTCCATTATCCACGAGTGACCCACATCTTCGGGGCTTCCGCTTTCGGAGATGTTGAACTAGTGATGGCTACGAGATCGCGTGAGTTTGAAAAAAAATATTAATATTTATTTTACAAATTTTAATATAATGTAATAGAAGTTACATTATTAATATATATTATTAAAAAATATTTCAATATTATTTGTAATTTTGATAAAAAAAATTAGCATCCCTATTATTATTAGTTTTATTATATTGGAAGCTTTAGAAATAAATACTGATAAAAAAGGAAAGAATGAAAATAATTTCGAGTAAATAGTAATATAGTTTCACAATCTGTTTCTTTTAAAATATTTAATATTTGTCCTTTATGATATAATAAGGATTCTTATAGGTACTTATTCAATTATAACGAAAATGATACTTATTAAGATAAAAATCTTAAAAATTAAAATCCATCTATAATCGTCAGTTCCATTTTATTAATAAGATCAATCAATAATTATAAATTACGTTTGTAATTTGCAATCATAAAATTATTTGAATTTTTATTAAAATTAATGATAACATTAATATTTTTGTTGCGTGACTTTTAATCTTGCTCTCGAAGAGAAATTATAAAAATGAATTATTATCCTTTAATATGTTATTACTCGACAACGTATCATTGTCACTCGGTTAAATTACATTTTTGTATGATAGATGTATATTTCGTATAATAGTATTAAAATTATATTAATTTTTTAATCGAAATAAAAAAAAATCTAAATTTAAAATATATTTTAAATTTTATTCTAAACATATTCGTATTTTAGTAATTGACAATTTAAAATTTAAAATATTCAAAATTTTGAATAATATTGAAATTTTGAAAAAATCAAATCAATGCTATGATATCAAAATTTAATCTCTATGTTGAAAGTTATTGTTGGAAATTAATTCTTATTTGTTATTCTATTCTATTTCTTATTCTGTTCTATTCACTTGAGAGTTAAATTAAGAAAAATCATTTTAAATATAATTTTAGAATCTCAAAAATATTTTTTCACTTTTCAATTATTTCATCACATGAATTATTATTTTATACAATCAAAATTTTAACTGATAATACAAAAGTGTACAATCTTTTAATCTCATCTCCTTTTTCAATATCTCAGTTTTTTCAATTTCTTGAAAAAATTGGAAAACAAGATATATAAAGCAATACAAAGTAAGAGAAAGTAGAATAAAATACAAATAAAAATAAAGTAATAAATAAAAATAAAAAAAAAAATAATGAACATATTCAATGACTGTCAGTGACGGAAGAAGTCCCCAAAGAGAATGTCTGTAAATATATTTTACGATACACTTTGAATCGCGTTTCAGTTGCAATTTCGACCGCGAGAGTTGCCATTCGCGTGGCTGATTGCCGATCGATGATTGCCATTCACGTGACGAGGATGATTTTCGAACAGGACTTTAAAAAAAACACTCGAGAAATTATCCGTGGAATTTTTCTGGTTCATGGTAATCAAGTACAGTTACGGAAGCAAACAGAATCTTTCACGATTTTTATTTAACGAAAATGCTTTAAACAACATAAAGCATTATCAAAATTTTCATAAAACAAATCTTTTTAATGATTATTTTCGAAAAAAAGGAATTATATATTTTCGAAAAATTGCATTAACGGTACATGATTTTAAGCTTGATTTAATCTTACCCCCCTTTTTCAAAAGATCTGGATAAAGATATGGACGAAACTTTCACTATCATGGATGATTTATTGACGAAAGTTAATTGAATATTTCATTCATTTTTCATTCACGACAATTTTATATTAGATATATTTTCTTTATTATATTTTTAACAATTATACCTAATGATTTAATAATACAGTAGATTTTTTTGTTATAGAACATCTCTTTAAGTGCCAACAATCGCCATCAAGATAAATCATGATATTTTTGAACAGTTGCTATTTTTTTTTAGAGAATATATAAATAAAGAAAAGATTTAAATGGTAATCCATTGGAATTTATATTTAGCAATTTTTAATTTTGCATTAAAAGAAGTAAGACGATTCTATTTCCATCACATTCTGCTTCCATCTTCTTTTATTTATCTCAAATTAAATTACCTATAAAAAAATAAATTTTAATAGACATTTTTGCATATAATTCTCTAAAATCTTTCATCATAAATTTTCTATCTACTTCGTCCAAATGTATATTAATTAATAATATAATTCTATATTGTACTCATTTTATATTTAAATAAGAAATATTATATATATATGTATGTATTTTTATTATATTTTATCTATAGATTATAAATAATATTGTCGGATTAGTTTATCTTATCACTAATAATTAGTTTCATAAATTAAAAAAATATATATTATAATTAAGAAAAAATAAGAAATATGGAAACCTATATATAGATGATAAAGATAGTGGGATGAAAGCAATCAGAAAGAAGGCGCGTTAACTAAATGATAACTAACCCACCACGTACCTCCCATGGTAATTTTTTCTGCGTTATTTCCTTGATCGTGAAGCAAAAAACTGGCTAAGTACACAAGGCCTGTGGCTTGCATCGTGAAAAAAATATAACTAGCTGACCGCATAATATCGAAGAAAAATATATTTGCATCTGACGATAACAAGTGTAGGACGAGCTGGGTCTGATTACAGAGCAGCGGGCCTATTACCATGCCAAAAACGATTCTCGTAACGGCTACCTGGAGGAGATTTCAAAAATTACCCCACGAAATTTCACCCGCTCTTATTATGAGGAAAACATTCATATTGTATCATATTGTAAATCGGATCGATTGCAATTTTGGCAATTTTCGATCGAAAAAATAAAAATAATGAACATTTTATCTTTTCAATTATATATTTCATCATATTATATCAACAGAGGATGAAATGATTCTTTCAATTAATTTGTATGAAATTAACTTTAAACATTCGTTGAGAATCGATGATACTACATTTCTTTAAATTTTAAACACTATTCTATTCTATTCCTAAAATTTAAATCGATCAATGACTTTTCAGTGAATTAACAATTTCCATTTTTTAATAATAATAACTAAAATTTTCGATGTTGTTCGATTTCTGATTTTAGTGAATTTCTGGTAATAAAATTCTAAATTTGGAATATAAATTGATAACAAATATGTCAATGAATAATGATTTAGTTAAATTTGAAAATCTTTCGAAAAGAAGATTACAAAATTTTAATATTATACTAACATAAGTAAAAGATATCGAAATCTCCTATATATTTGAGTTTCTATGCAAAGTATAAAAAAAAACTATTATGCATTTAAAATTAATTCATTTAATAAATAAAATAAAAAACTGTCCTGCTCTGAACTACCAAAATATTTATTACTTATATTAATATTTATGATGAAATAAAGAAATATAGAATTCCCAATTTAAATTACTATTACACATTCATATATTTCATCTTAATATTTTTCTTTTATTTGTAAATATTTCCTTATTGAGGTTAGAGATATTTCATGCAAAATTACATATTTGTGTTTTTTTATAACAATTTATAAAAATATTGTGGATACGGTTCTTCTTTATATCAGTGTAATTAGGAGAAGGTTAATAAAGGCCACTTCTTGTTTCTCATAAAGAAAATTCAAGTTTTATTGCGGGTACTCGATTCTGCAAAAATATTTAATCGAGCAACGCTTTAGCAGCAACCATGTTTAAATGTAGTTCGTTCGTTAACTTAATTATCAACCAATCTCTCGTGGCTCTCAAATTTCTCGCTTAATTTCCTCTTTCATGTTCCTGCAACCTTTTCGAATATGTAGCATCAGTGACTTGACAATTTAAACGTTCTGCACCCATCAAACATTTTTGCACGATCAATCATCTTTTTTTCTTTAATTTTCTTTCTTTTTTTTCGTGTTCATTTTTATATCAGACACGTGGGTCTTGCAAAAAAAGAAAAGAAAATTAAATGAAAATATTCACGAAACAAAATATGATTCTGTTAAATATACAATACGATATATGTTTATTTAAATATACATTTATTATGTTTAATGATAAAAAATATTATATATTTCAAAAATTTTCCTCTTGGTAAGAGATACGGATACATTTGTTTAATCTTCAAGTATTATTCTAATTACAAAATCTAAAAATGTGAATACATTTCAATTACTTTCAAAAAATCATTTTTTCATTAATGTACGCTACATTGAGATTAATTATTCGATTTTTTCGAATAAAATTTTTTTTATTCGAATTAATTGTCATTCTTATGTTCTAAATTCATATCCTAAATTAAGAACCTTCCATTGAATTGTCATATGACGATAAATATCTTATTTTCCTTATAATTTTAAAATAATATTATTAATAATTTATAATTGACAATTCTCTTAATGTTTCTTTTGTAGTCATCATAAAGGACAATAGAGGAAAATAAATTATTAAACGATTTTTTGTCATACAACGTAGAATTAAAGTAATTTCTTCAATTATATACTTTTTTCTTTCTTCTTTTGGTGAGTTATCGATTATTGAGCATACATAACCTCTTCTTCATATTTATCGGCAAATGTTTATCTCGAACTAATGTGCTCAAATTATTGATCTTGTACTTATCTGTAAGTCGTTACAGAGTAGAAAGGAGTAACCGATCCCGATTACGATTTCTCCTCTCAATGCCATGAAAAACGTCGACACTTTCACAAAGCGACGCGTGCAGCTGTTCCGAGGAGGAACTCCCCGTATCTGAAAATGGTGGATAAACGGCGGAAGGGTGAAGCTGACTCTCCATGTCCACGTGCCGCCTCCTATTTCGTGAATTATCGGTGCAATCATCTGGAACAGTTTGCAATTACGAGAAATATACGATTGTTACAGGTAAATATTTATTTTATAATTTTTTGCTAATTTTGAGGTGATACATGTTCAAAGATAAGGATTAACAAGGATTGATGGATTGCAATTTTTCTAATATTAACATGAAATTTATCGAAACATAGAAAATTTATTCTAGTTAAATTGTTATAATCATATATCGTTATATTCATTTTGTTTAAAAGAAATTAAACAAATTCAATATAACAGTTTTAATAAATAGTATTAATTTTATGTATAGGTATATTTTGTTTTTATATTACAAGTTTCAAGCTTTTGACTTCATTTTTTCAATTTTAATACTTAATGCACTTTTAAATCGTATTATATATTATTTCTGACTTTTGTGCCTATACGAAATACATAATTTGAATTTATGATGTTGTTAAATATAAAATAATGAAGCTGATATTATCATTTGATTTATGTCAATGTTATTATCTGTACAAGAAAACGTACATCGAATATTTCTTTTAAAATGTAAACTTGTTCCTTTCAATTTTTTAAAGATAATATTTAAACTTTAATTTATTTGAATGATATATGATAGCATAAGATATTCCATTCAATATTCATTCAATAGAAAATTTTTTATTGTAAAATTTTTGCTCAGATTTTTCAAAATTTTTGCTACAACTCTCTCACAATTTATCCCATGCAACGATCTAGTAGAATACATCTGTGAATGATCCAACACTGTTTAACCAAATCTAAGCGCATGTATCATTTAATCCGTGCGAATTCGATCGAAAATCCATTTTTGCGATTTCATGACGAGTTCGGATCCGATCGAAATCGTATTCGCGGATCATCGACCCAGTTATTTAACCGTGTTACCGCGTCCAGTTGACTGGACTAACGTTTCTTCGTCTTTCGTTTCTGCTTATATCCAATTAACCATTAAACACTTCCCATTTTTCTTCTTTCGTTCCCTTTTAAGCCATAATTTTATCGCTTCGAAGCGATCAGCTTGAATTTCGATTTTATTTGCACGCTCAGATATTCATAAGCTCTTCTTCTTTCCTTTTCTTTCATCGATTAATCGCGTTTCCCCGATATTCGGTATAATCATTGTTAATTGGGTTGAAAGTTTTGGATATGTGGAAAAGTTTGTTTTATTTCTCTTCGCAGAATTATTGGTCACTCGTTATTGACCATCTCGAACGAGTTATTCGTAATTCGGGATCGAGAGGTGTAAAAAAAAAAAAAAAAAAGATAAATATTTTAGTCGATCTCGAATTTTTGATGGATGATTTGCAACGATGATTTCGTGGCAAGAATGCGGTGAAATGTCTCTTTGAATAATTTGAATAAGAGAGTTATGCTTGAATTACTTCCTCGTATATATCATATATACAGTGAAGAAAGTAGCATTAATTTTACGGATAAAATGCTAATTTGCATTTCATCTTGATTTTATTTCGTTTTTATCCGTTCAATTTCATCCTATTCTTTAATTTAAGAGACGTTTCATTCAATCATTATTTCGTAATAAAATTATTAAATTTGTAATTATAATTAAATGAAACTATATATTTATCAATATAGAAATTTTTATCTATTTACAAATGTTTATATATTATTTTCACACTATTCTTGCTACATAGAGAAACATATGCAGTAGAACATGCATATTATTAGTACGCCTTAAAGCACTTCGAACTTACAAATAATTCGAATTTCATTCGAACACATTCATTAAATAAGAAACAACGAAGCTTGTAGAATATATATACCGAATAAAATAAAAAAATAATTTCCAAAAAAATCTGATTGCAATAAAGTTTAATAAATTAAATTACTGTAAAAGTACGTACAAGTGATAAAAGTATATATTTGATCTGGCCATAATAAAGCTTAGCAAAGGACATCAAATAAAAAGAATTGTCATCTTTAAATGATAAAACAATTAAAATCCAAAAATGTCTCCCCAATCAACTACAACTTTCTTGCAAGCGTTTTTAAGTCGTTTTAAGCCTTTTCACCGGCCGTTTTTACGTGTTAACAGAGATCGATCGATTGTGTCGTTACACGAGGCAAGTTTCGTTCTCCATGATGCACGCGAATTGGTCTGGCAACGTTTTCTCTTTGATCACGACGGTCGAGCCACGTTGTTTCAACAATTTTCAGGTATTATTCGCATAAATTGTCGGTTTAAAGTTTCGACGCCGCAATTGAAACGCAAAATGGCAGAGCTTCGGGCTCGGTTTCTCCTTTAATATGGCGCCGATCCGTATGTTTATGATAAAAAGATCATACGAATAATATTTTGTAATATTATTAATGAAGAGCAAACCGCAATGAAGTTGAAGTTGCATTTCTTTTCCAAATTTAAACGGAAGATGATATGTAATTTGTGAAGGAAAAAGTTGGAAGATTTGATAATTATCGTGTTATTAATTTTATTTCACGTTCCAAGATAAAAGTTGTTATGTAGAAATCGATAAAAATTACCGATAAATTTTTAATTTCTTAATTAAACACACTTTACTTTGTAACAATACTTTCTTCGTATATTGCAATGTATATTACATAAAAATAAAAATTTTAATTAATTTTTTAATATTTGAGATCTCCGGAAATCTAAAGATCCTGAGGATTCTTCTTCTTTTATAAAATTTAATATTTATAATTTTAAGAATGGACATATAAATTTAATATTTAAAATCGTGTCAAAATCAATATTTAATTTTTTTCATCTACTTTTCAATCCACGAAAAGCTTATTATAAAATTATTATTCAATTACAAAGGATCCTTTTATATCTATTTCGCACAGTATAATAAAATTCATAATTTTCACTTGAAATTAAAGAAAAGTGTTTAATAAGAAAAATATAAAGTATCTTAAGCATTAAATTAGATTAAAAGTGAATCCACTAATAATTCTGAATGGAAAATGGCAAATTTAAATAGGAAAAAATACGAAATAACCAAATAAAGATGTCAAATTATTATATAAAACCGAGAAACCGAGATAATACGTACTAAGTAGTTGTCAAAAATGTACGTACCGATCAGAAAGGAAGGAAAAAAAGCCACGTCGCCCCATTGCAAGCCCGTAAATGGTATACAGCTGCGAATACGCTTGGTCAAGTGCGTATCGAAGAGAAAAGAAACGGAGCCCGCGAAAGAATCATCCGGATCGGATATTTCAGTTTCTCAATTGGGCGCACGTTTTTGGGCTTACCCACGATGTCGGCTCGACCAAAACCGGAACCGCATCGGCGAC